GCGAGCGTCCGGGGGTCTGAGGCTTACGCAGGATTTGGATACATCACCCACCCCCGGTTGGATGGGGCCCTCCTGCCCTTGACCCCCTCATCCACACCGGGGCTGACCACCCCACCCCCCTCGGCCCCCAGGATCGGGCCCTCAGCCCCTTCTCTGCCCCAGGACTGATGCCCCAGGGTCACCTCTCAGCCCTGTCCCCCTCAGTCACCTCAGGGCCGACACCCCAGGCCCCAAATCAGCCCCCAGGATCAGCTTCTCCCTTGCCCACCTGGGGCTGACCCCCCGCAGGCCTCCTCGTATCTCTCCTGAAACTGGCTAAAGGACTGGCTCTGCCCTGCTCAGCACCAGCCAGGCTGATGAAAATTAGAGAAACTGTGTCCTTCCTAGTAAAATAAGCATGATTCGAGGGTGTAGGTTTGGAAACTAATGAAAAGCTGTTCTGCAGGGCTGGCTCTCACCTCCGACAGCTGGCTGAACTGATCGAAGGAGGCTTGAGCAGATGGCAGCACCTTCATTAACCAAAGCATCTCAGGAAAGGACTAAGGGTGTGTTCGTGGCTGCAGGCTCAGCTGCAGCCCTGGGAAGCCAGGAGTCCGCAAACCTGGACAGTGCCTGAGCTGAGACGTCTCATGCCAGGCTGCTGGGGGCAAAGGCAGACATACACACCCTGGTCCTCAAAGAGCCCAAGGTGCCTCTTGCTGGGAGTAGGGACTTGGGCACTGCAGACCTGGTCCCAGCAAGGCAATGCTGTACCTAGCTGGTGCAGGACTGTCCATGCTGCTGCAGCAGTTCCAGGGGAGCTTCTCCTTCCTTTAGCACCTTCCTAGGACACTTTAGAGCGTGCTGGTCTGGGCAGCCCTTTAGCAGAGTGGGTTTAAACTCCCCCAGGCCAAGCACTAGCCAAAATCTCTCACCTCCAGCCACAGCACCTGTAGGGCAGCAGGGAGCACCTTTACCCCCACCTGACTGTATGCCTGGTAAAAGAAGAGACCTTCTGTTGGTATTTAAAAGCCCCTCAAATCCAGGGGTGCTTCCCTACACACTCAAATCCAGGAGTGCTTCCCTACAGCTATTTAAAGATATAAACCTGATGGAAGCAGTTAAGACCAGGTCCTCTCGCACAAAGGGTTTAAATTTTGAACAAAGCTTAGAGATACCTCTTTAGGGACAAACACCACATCATCTTCTGAATACTTACTGTTCTAAATACTTACACAAACATAGCCATTTTAACACTGAGCATTACATGCTGCTCCAATAGCTGTTCCCACTGGGCTCACCCCCCCAGACCTGCCTCTGCCAGACAAGGGCTTTACCCGCCTTTGGGACCAGCAAGGCTGGCTCCAGTTTGCTGCTGCTATGCTACAGCAAGCAGCAATTTTTGCTGCTCTCCCCTTCAGAGGGCTCAGCTATGACCTCTTACTTATGATTTCAGAGCTCTCTTTCCCTATTGTGGACATGAAAGCTCAAACGGGAAAAAGAAAACCCAAGTCCTCAAGCTGCAGCTTTGCACTGCAAATCTTTTAAGCTGTTTCTGTCTGCTCTGGGTTTCCACCACATCTCCCAGGGATACATTCTCTATCTAAACCAAACTGTGTTTCAGGATGATACTTGAACCAGAGACATGTCAATTGAAGTATGTTTTACAAACAACAGTCCTCTCTAATGGTCGTGGTAGTTCAGACAGACTTGGGTTAGGTTGGTACAGCAGCACATGTGCTCAGATGCCCAATGCAAATACGTGCACATTGCACACCAAGGGACCCACTCCAATGGCAGAACAGCTGTCAGGTTTATCACAGCCATATTTCTGCCATGCCACAATCCTCAAATACTGGCACAAAGCTTTTCTGCTCCTCTGGAGTCTGTAAGTGGGAGGATAAAACTGTCAGCTGCTGGCTCGGTGCATGGATTCCTGCTGCAGAGCTGGGTCTGCTCTTCCCCAACGGCAGAGAGAGAAGAGGACAACAGAAACCTGCGGCACCACATCGAGCAGAGCCTCAGTTGAGAGCCTTGCAGTGAGGTGGTGAGTCTGAGCTGCCTTTGGTGTTGCAGGGAGAGCTACAGAGAATAAATCCACTGAGGGTTACAGGCTCCAGAGACTCACACCATGCATGGACCATCCCTGTGCCACCAGTCCCTGCAAGCCTGGAAGGGTTGGTAGCTTTACAGTGTGCCTTTTCCTTTCAGCCACCCTTGGAGGCCAGATCCTCAGCCTGCCGCACTCCTGCCCAAATAACTCATCTATATCTCAGGCCAGGAATTTATTTTCATTTCTGGATGGGGGATCCTGCTACTGATCTTTGTGTATAGTGTTATGGGTTACAAGTTGCAGTGGCGTTTGGGAAGAAACTGGGTGTCTTCTCTCATCTTTTTTAGTAGTCTCACTGCAGTGTGAGGGTAGACCTGGCCTCTCTGTGAGCTGACTGCAAGGGGGTCAAGGGAAACCAAAGACACTGCCAGTGTCAATAGACCCAAATGCCAGTGCCCTGCTGTGGGTATTTGAGGGCACAGGGACCTGGGGCAGTTCCCACAGGGTGAAAGCTCCCTGGGGCTGGGCTTTCCGCAGGAGCTGGCCCTGCAGACTCCATGGCTGGGGATGCGGCACAGCCCTTGCCGAGGGCAGGAGTGACTCCCCGGGGGCGTGTGGCCAGTCTGGGACCAGGAGAGGAAGGCAGAGCTGCGCTGCTGTGTCCCAGCACCTCCCTATGCCTTGCGGGATGGCCGGCTTTGCTCTGTATGGCTCTTGATTGCCTGCTTTTCTCTGTGAGATAACATCAGGAGCAGTGCATCCCCACACCAAAGTGGTGTCCTCGCTTCCCCACATACCTCATCTGCATACCTGAACCGGAGCTGCTTTTGTGGGGCTTCTCCTGGGCTGCTGAGGGTGAAAAGGGCTCTGTATCCTGTGGTGGCAATGTCACAGGGCTGTGAGTGTCCCCGGACATCCCAGCACTGCCAGGAGCCTTAGATCTAAATGTCCATTAAGACAACTGAGAAGCTGTGGAGTGGGTTAGTTATAGGAATAATTGATACATTCAATATGTCTATCTTCACAGGAACAAAGCAAGGCAGCCTGGGGACCAGATGAAGTGTCCTCGGAGAGCTGATTGCACCAGGCAGTCCCGAGACTTACATCTGTGAAGGCTCTGAAGAACAAAACAGGCAATTTTGCAGGCAGGAAAAGAAGACAGATGTGAAAAAGATTTGTTTTCACTGCAGTGAATTATCCCGATCCCTCACCCTGGGGGAGAAATAAAGATTTTCCTGCTAACGTGAGCTCACCTCTGGGGTGTTTTGGTGCAAGGATTTACCTGTGTACTGGACGCTTTGGACACATTCGCAGCCCGAGAGGACCCCCCTACTCCTAAAAAAAAACTCTGCAGCCCCTGGGTTAGACAAGCCCCCTCCTAGGGACCGCTGCAGGGAGGAGCAATAAGGGAAAACACCCGGACACCCCACTTGGGGTGTCCTGCTCCCTTTGGGGTGCCCAGCCCGGCTACCCCAGCCCCTTCCCGGAGGGTCGCGGCCCCGAAGGACATTTTACCCCGCCGGATTTACACACACACAACTGCCCCCGGAGCAAACCTGCCCCGGCCCGAGCCCCTCTTCCCGGGGTTGGGGGGTGTTTCCTGCGGCCGTCGCCGGTATTTATCTCCGCGGGGAGCGGGGATGGGCCAGGCTCCCCTCCCCGGGGCCGCGGCGGAG